CTTTTCCAAAAAAGATTCTTGCACAATGTGGTGAGATCAGACACCTTGTCCACATGAAAGACTCACAAATGATACAAACACACCAGTGAACCCACCATAATATTTGTGTTTACTATTGCGTTATAAAATCCTAGATTCATATTAACCCAATAAATATGTTGCAGTTGTCATTTAAATGTAACAATGGAAACATCTCCACCTCTGAATTATTCTGCATACTCCTGTACCTTGCAATGTCAGAAGAAGTATAATTAAAAGGGCAGTGCCTGTATGTTATGTGTGCTTCAGAATCATACATTATTTTTTTATACGTATGATGATCTAAACGGTTTAGATATTTTATTTTTAGCATGCTGTACCCGGCCAAATGTTGTCGTAGTTTAATTTAGCATAGAAAAGATAGAAAACAGAAATTGCAAGTCTGTTACATGGTTAATGTTGCAATCGTTGCCGGCGAGATACAGATAGTCCAGTTTGCTGCACATATCTCGCCAGCGTATCTTAAGGTGGTGTGTCCCAAATACTGCCCATTCGCCCGTACAGACATGACTTAAATGAAATGTCACTGCATAAAAAAAAATTATTATAACAAATTTCTTCACCTATTTAGAACAATGACAGGTAGCATCCCAAAATCAAAACAAACATATCCTGAAAATTGCAACTAAGCTGGTTCAGTAGTTGCAAAGACTATTGGTAACCCCCCAAAAAACTATATATATATATAATATATATATATATATCACCATCAGGTGCCTTGCCAACTGGCGTGGGCGATCATGCCTATCCATAATCCAAACTCCTGCAGCATGTATCAGTTCGTGTGCTGACACACCTCCATGCCATGCAACAAGACTGTCAAGCATCTTCTCTCGTGGTCTTCCTCTATCCCTCCTTCCACAGATCTTTCCAGTGGTCACAACATGTTCTATTTTCCCTCTTCTCATAACATGGCTGAAAAATGATGACTGTCTCCTTCTGATGTCAGTCATAAGTTGTCTTCGGGCTCCCGCCTTTTTTAAAACCTCTTGGTTGCTCTTTTTGGCTGTCCAGGGTATTTTAAGCATTCTTCTGTAAAACCACATCTCTGAGGCCTCTAAAAATTGTTTGGTCTGCCTACCGATTGTCCAGGATTCACATCCATATGTTAAAACTGGATGTATGTAGCAAGCAAGAATTCTTTTTTAAACTCAATGACAAGGATATATTGCACAAGATGTTTTTCATTTTATAAAATGCAGTTTTTGCGTGTCCTCCTCCTTCGTTCGATATCAGTCATGCTAAACATTGAGTCCCGTCTGGGTCACAAATAGGATTGTGCGTTTAAGGTCGCCAATGTGGCTCCTTTGGGCCAGATCCAGTCTTTGCTGGGAGAGGTAAGGGCAGTACTGCAGTATATGCTCAGGGGTCTGTCTTTCTGCTCCACAATCACAGGCAGCAGATTCTTTTATGCCTATCCTGTACAAGTGTGCTCGAAGACCACAGTGTCCAGTCCGAAGTCTAAAAATTTATGTTTGTTCCTTTGCCTGTCCAATTCTGTTTATTATTTCAGTTATGCATCTTCCATCTAATGTTATCCATGTGCCCAGATACTTAAATTTCTGTACTTGTCTTAAAATAACACCATTGACTTTTTGAGTCTAAATTTTATCTTTTTTTTTTTGGTTAAGTGTTTTCTGTGATGTATGCTTGATAAATCTGCTGCTGTAAGATGATGTGCTTTTGCGTCACATTCTGTTAAACCAATATGATGCTGAATACTACTAAATCTTTTAAGTAACAGCGCTAGTGCAGTTTACATTGTGAGATGTACTTCTGGTCTAATCTAGTCATTTTGGGAGGCTGCGTGAGTAGCCTTACGGCACAGCCACAGGTAAAATTTTCACTTAAGATCTACACTAAGTATTTCAGGATATTCTTTAAGTTTGAGCACTGCGCTGAGATTCTTTGGACTCCAGTTTGAGTCAGATGTAGAGCGGTGCACTCACAAGTAAGCTCTTGTGTCACGATGATTCGTTGTTAAAACCTAAACCTGGAGTCATTTACATTGTCCTCAGTTATTGTATTGAAGATATAGCTGAGCATGAAAAGCTACACTAATGTCACAAGAGTCAACGTCAGAAACACACAAATTTACATACCTGGATCTGGTTAGTGAATGTTCCAGGGGTGAATCGTCCAGCGATGGGGGTGGAGCCAGTTGAAGATGCAAACTTCAGGACAGCCCTCTGTCCGTAGGGACGAGCAGAAATGACGCAGATATCAGCTGGGTTCTCAATGGCTACGATAGCACGAGCCGCAAGCAACAGCTTCTCCCAGGTCTTCTTAAGATTGATGATGAAAATGCCTAATGTAAAATAATTCAGGTAAACCAAATATTTCACTGCAGACAGTATGAGACTAATTGTGTGTCTAGGCTGCGTTACAGAATAAACTTGCTAATAACATTTTATAAATTTTCTGCACTTGTGAGACAAGCCATATTTCCTCTAGGGTCGAAGGGTTAAAGTCGCTAAAGTTTTTTTTAATGTGTAAATCATGGTGTGGAGAACTGGACCCTGATCAATTCTAAATTGGGGTATACTTTCAGGTGATTTAAACTAGTTCAAGGATAGACCACTTTATATGACAAAATGGTAGTTTATTTTGGTATCATATGCGAAGGCAGCTAGCTCAACTATCATAGATATCGAAATACACTGCCTTCCCAGAGTGTCAGTGTACCACCTATATATTAGGCCAAGCACATATGACAAAGTGACAACTGCCTCGTTACAGGACAGATAATACACTACATAATTTAGCCCATCAGTTTTGATATGTTGTCAATCCTCACAGATAATTCAGAGTTGGATTGTTAATGGTACATCATATGAGCTGGACAATTACAAATTCTGTTAGGATAAAAGGCGAGTGAGAATTTGAGGCTACATGGACAGTGAGTCACTACAAACACTGTCACTGCCTTGCGTAGGATGCACACACTTTAGTCTTCAGGAGAAAAAAAACAGAAATAACTTGGTTACTGCCAGACAATCGAAACTGAAAGAAATTGAAGCAAAACAATCTTTCCACACAATGGGTACTGCCATCACTGTATGTAATAATGTATTGACCACTTTGTTGAGGTGTAGTCTGAGACCCAGAATTTATCGCTGCACTGCTAGTTCTCACACCACAGGATTTTATGTTTGCTTACTAGGGATATTACATTATATTATTATGTTCTACTGGGTACAAACAACAAGGGCAGAGGACAGACAATGAATTACATATTATAGCCCATCAGTTGTGATATGTTGTCAATCCTCACAGATAATTCAGAGTTGGATTGTTAATGGTACATCATTTGAGCTGACAAATACATAAAGGGGATTAGGGGCAGCGCGGTTAAGGAGCTCTTAAAGTCGAATGGAAAATATGTAGCCTAGGATTTAATCCTAGTGATCAGAACCATTTTGTCAAATGAACTTCTTCGCGTTCTCCAGCTGTGAAAGTTCTGGTTGTTCATGCGTCCACTTCTGCAGTCCTGTTTCGGACCCTGAGTGTGCATCCGTTTGACAGATCTGACTCATTTGCGTGCAGACTGTTAGTTCCTTGCCTCTAAGGAAACACAATAGGACACACAAAAATTAAAGCTGTAACAGTAAAATAATCATAGAATATTGATTTTTCAACAAAATATGACAAAGAAACATAAATTACCATCAGGCTTGCGCTTGAAGACATATTGGTGCATTTGATGGTCAACATTCGTGGATCCAAGGTGAGCTCCGGCAGCGAGGAGCTTCAACATATCTTCCTCCTTGACGGAGAGTACTTCTAGTCCTCCGGACATCGTGTGTGTTTTAGTTGAGGGTGACGGTAAAAACCTGTCAAGGGAAATAAATTCAAAGCTTATACACAATATACAACAAAATTTTTAGTCACAATATGATATGAAGGTAGTATTAACTGCTGTAAAACATGCTCTGATGTATCATTTCCCTTAGATATCCAACAAAAACATTTGAATTCTTCCAAAACTGCCGACTCCTAGTTTATGCAACGGCATATGAATGACTCAATTACAGTATGAGGCAGGTTAGGCTGGGTAACTTTATACTAGGGCACCTGACAAATGTGCCCAAAAAAATTACGTTTTTTTTGGAAAAAGCATAAAAAATTACATTGCGTGTGAGTTCTCCCATGTGTATCCTTTAATGGAACTAACCCCAAGCTGTTGTTCTACACATTTTATGCCTAGAAGTTACTAGTTTGCCACTGCTTTTCAATAGCCAGCTCTTAGTACCACTGTCAAAAACCAACGCTAAGCACATCTGCAGCAACTAGAGTCACATAACGCATTGGTACCAATTGGAATTCATTTGTAACTAGCATTACCATAACAGTTAAAGCCTAAAGCCAACCTTGAATACTTATCGCTATTTTGAATCAAACTGATGTAACAGAAAAACAGGATGTCCGACTGTCGTAGACATGCGCTGTTGATCGGGCTCCTTCCCGTCGTTTTCAGCTTTTTATAGTGGGTGAAAATCACACCAATCGCAAAATTTCATGAGAGGTTGGTACCCATCCTGAAACCCCAGCCGACATTTCCGAAACAAGTTTTAAACGGTTTCCATGGTGACGGAAATTGCCAAAAGGCCGACAATTGGTTGTTTGCGTAAAACAAGGGGTAGGGTTAGGGTTTACGGTTAGGGGGTTAGGATTAGGGTTTAGGGGTATGGTTGGATGTGAAAAATTTTCACGTAGGAGGTCGAAATAGTGGCCGACAATCTGACGTTTGTGGGAGTGAGGCCGCTGACACTGCCAAATATGACGTCAATAGCGGGCGGGCGGCTGGTGCCCAGTCTCTGGCGAATTGATCGTTTCACCAACATCCACAGGCCCTCGATTGTTTGTGTGTATGTGACTGTGCGCGACGTCAACGAAGTTGGTCTGGTGGACTACTACCTCGTACAGATAGATGCCACGCCTTAAGTTTGCGACGTTGCTGTAGCCTCGCCAAGAGTCAGTCACGATGGTCGTTCCCGGCAGTATGTGATCTTTTATGATCCTCTCCAATGTCGCCGCATCTCGTTTTCGCACAAGCTCACGCTCTACTAGCCCAACAATTGTCACATCTAACAGTACACCTAACCCTACCCCTAAACATCTTACGACGCAAACAACCAACCTACATGCAATAAGTAGCTACTTCAGTGAAATTTTTAAAATGCCCTCTACACCAATAAAACCAGCACAGTTAGATAGCTGTAAACAATTTCTTTCCAATGGTACCTCATTTAGGCTTGTATGTCATTTCTGAGCTGAGATATGTAGGTTTTGTGGAGATGAGATGTAAGAAACAGCCGCTAAAACTTGTGACCCAGAAACAAGAAGTTTTTTTACTGCGCAACCTACTGCGCAGTTCTGTATCGGCTTTGTTTACATTGGACTGTCATTGGACAAGATGGCAGGCAATGAGACACAGCCACTGGCTGAGCCAGCGATTGCCTGAAAAATGTCACTGTACATCTACCTAGCCACCGTCCAGAAAGAAATTTTATACACAAATGTAAAATTGGACGGAGAATTCAAATATACCTAGCAATACCCGGACAAGTAACAGTTAAAGCCTAAAGCCGACCTCGAATTTACCGCTGTTTTCAATCAAACTGATGACTAACAGAAAAACAGAGGACGTCCGGCTGTCGTAGACATGCGCTGTTAATCGGGTTCCCCCACGCTGTTCAGCTATTTATAGCTGGTCCAAATTCCCACAAATGGCAAAATTTCATGAGAGCATTTGGGCCCATACGGAAACCAGCCGAGATTTCCCGAACAAGTTCTGAACGGTTTCCGAGTAACGGAAATTGCCGAAAAGACCACAAATTGTCGAAACTGTAGTCCCTACAATAAGCAGCCCTAGACGCAACCGTAGGATGATGATAGACACCCTACGCAACCCTACACGCACCCGGATGATGATAGGTAAGTATGCCATTTGATTCGTGACTTTTTCTGTGACTGGTTTTGAGTTGTTTTGAGTTTGGCGAAGGGACGTAACTCCTACTAAGCCGGCCGAGCAGTTTAGCTTGCCGGCCAAATTTGCTAGGAGAGCCATAGATTGTTCACAGCTATCTAACTGTACTGGTTTTATTGGTGTAGAGGGCATTTTAAAAATTTGACCAAAGCACCTATTTTTTTTTCACTGAACTTAGCGACTACAGTTTCGGAAATTTGCTATCTTTTCGACAATTTCCGTTACCATAGAAACCGTTTAAAACTTGTTTCGGAAATGTCGGCTGGGGTTTCGGGATGGGTCCTAATCTCTCATGAAATTTTGCCATTGGTGTGATTTTCACCCACTCTAAATAGCTGAAAACGGCGGGAAGGAACCCGATTAACAGCGCATGTCTACGACAGCCGGACATTCTGTTTTTCTGTTAGTTTGATTAAAAATAGCGGTAAATTCGAGGTTGGCTTTAGGCTTAAACATTACCAGTTGTGGTAATGCTAGTTACAATTGAATTCTCCATCCAATTTTACATTTGCATATTAAATTTTTTTTCCCGGCTCTGGCTGTTTAGATTTACAGTGACATTTTTTAGGCAATCGCATGCGGCTGAGTGAGCTGAGTCTCACTGCCTGCCATCTTGTCCAATGACAGTCTAATGTCAACAAAGCCGATACAAAACTGCGCAGTAGGTTGCGCAGTGAAAAACTTCTTGTTTCTGGGACGCAAGTTTTAGCGGCTGTTTCTTACATCTCATCTCCACAAAAACCTACATATCTCAGCTTAGAAATGACATACAAGCCTAAATGAGGTGCCATTGGAAAGAGATTGTTTACAGCTATCTAACTGTGCTGGTTTTATTGGTGTAGAGGGCATTTTAAAAATCCTACTGAACTCCAAATAAAAGCTCCTTCTCTAAAGGGTTAATTGAACTGTAATTTTGTTTCAACGGAAATATTGACCAGTGTTTGTAAGATTTGGTACACATAGAATATAACTTATTACTGCGTTAAGACAGCAGTTATTATTCTATAAATTGTATCTCATGCCAGGGCAAGCGAACCTCGTGCTGCACAACACATGTGGTCACTAGTTATCGATAATTGGTCGTTGGTTTGTATCAATTAAAAAATGTTTTCTGTAAATATACAAGCATTAAATTAAAATATCCCAACTGCACACAAAGTTTACTTACAGTTTATCCGCAATACTAACGCAAAATTATTGCAAGTAATGAAGTATTGGAGCTGAAATAATAAAATATTGGAGAGAAAACTTACACGTGTGACGCCGAATAGAGGCTGAAGCAGAAAAGGAAGTTGGAGGTCACATCCGGCTGGGCGTCACGTGATATATTGGATTGGATCGTCAATTTGTCATTCAAATTAAATAATGTCCCGCCACCACAATGTACAAATTAGTTGCCTATCGTTTGAAGGACGTTGCAGAACCAACCCAAGCATTTTTTTTTCGGCTGTTGTGGTTTTCCTAGGCAAGTTTACGTTCAGTAGTTTGCCATTGCTTTCTGGACACCACAATGTAAACAAACATAAATAAACAGAGGGGAAAGCTCTGGGGTCGAAAAAAACAATATTTGGCTATAGTTTATAATTGTGGTGGGATTATTAAATGGTAAAACCGTAATATCTTTTGCCTTTTGCCGTTTCGACTTCTGTTTTGAACCATTTTTACTGAACCGCTCAGCATTTTAAGTAGTGTGCGACAAAATATGTCCTGGGATTAAACGTAATGTTATTTATGGGGATTTCAGTACTAGTCAACTAAAAAAACAACATTACCTACTGCGTACAGACAGCTCTGCGTGTTGTCACATGTAGCGAGGACCTTTCAGAAAGCTGTTCTCCAAACGGTCCCAGATTTGCATGTATGATAGTAGGTACTGGATTATTTTCACTATTTACCAGAATCTGGCCTTTCTCGGCATTAACTTCCATGCCATATGTACCACAGATAATACTAGTGATGTATTGACTTTAACATAAAGGGCCACCATTCGGATAAGGATCCCCGTTCACAAGTCCTAGAAACCCCGTATAACCGCTAGGTTATATTAGGGCCACCGACGATAACTGGAGTCGGGTTTTCAAATAGCAAAAACATTGCATCCCGTAATGAAACGGGGTGTTTTTATCTCGTTCAGGAAATGGATGTCTGGCAACAGCATAACATGAAACAGCTTACAAATCCCTAACAATTTGATTTTATTACCAACAAATATTTTGCAGACAGGAATTGTACTTACTAATCAACTCCAAGCATGGCGCTTGCGCGAAATGTCAGTGTGTGGTTTAGGGGTTGCGGAGCGTTTCTTGCGTTGGTTTCAACAGTGGTACCAAGAGCTGACCGTTAGAAAGCAATGGCAAACTACTGAACGTCAACAGCCAACAAATGATGTGGTTAGTTCCACAACGTCCAGTGAAGGATACGCAATATCGTGTTGCGTGGAATAGGGGGAATTTAATGGCATGATAGAATCACTAAAATACAGCTTTGGAAAAGAACTAAACAAGTTGCAGTGAACCAAGAGGTGAAGAAAATACGTTGGCATTGGATAGAACGCGCTAAAAAATGAGAACAATTACTAGAATGTCTGCACACTGGAACCGATAATTTTAAACAAATAAAAACACCAGACACATTCCCACCCGCAACACACATAGTAGGGAGATAGAGAATGAAGTCAAACGGACAGGGATAACATGGGCTGATCTGTGTGCGGTAGCGAAGGATAGGACGACTTGGGGACAGCTGGTGCAAGTTGGTGCTATATTTGGAGATACATGGCGGCAGCATAATAATAATAATAAAAATATTAA